ATACATCTTAGAAAATCTCAACCCCTAAGTATTATTACTAGTGTTTTGGCAAAGTGCGTCATGGCAACTATCTCTGCCACATCTTGGTGCTTAGGTCCTAATTTACTAGCTGAGCTTACGTGGTAGGTAACCAATTGCAACCCTCTACGATGCATGGTATTTTTGCTATGCCATCGAAGACTACTTTTCCACAATCTACACTGTTCATAAACTCGATTCACACTATTATTAGTCCGACTGACACGTGTTTTGCACAGATACAATAACTTCACTATTGCCACACGACACAGCTGCAGTCCTAACTACGCTACAGGCGCTCTTTCGCTTATACACCACATCAGCATCATCAACACACCCAAAACAAGCGGGTGTCGGTAATGCACTTCATTTAAGCTACTTTCAGGTTTACGCGTCGAGCAGCGTTTGACTCTGTTCCTTCGCATTCGTCACTTTACTACAACGTGTGGTATCTCGCACCTTGGCACACACTCACCCACCACAGGACATCTTAATCAAATGATCTTCGGCTCAGCACCAACCGCGACTTCCACACCTAGACCTGTACCTACTTAAAGTGTCAGATTCATAGTCTTTGAAGGAACCAAACTTCCTCCCTCATTCTTACGGTACCGGACTTGCGTTTCAACCTTTCCTACAACAATTTCTTGATGCTCTGGCCGTCGCAGAGGATAATAAACGGCGCCCTATCTGCTGCATCGAGCAGGGTGGATAGGGGTTTGGATGCTACTGCTCAGGCCTTCCCGTCTTCTTATACCCCTTCTTGTGCTTCTGCATCCTTATTGTCCCGCTCCAACTTTACTTATATCCCCCCATTTTCAATCCCTCAATTCTTGGCCCTCCCCCAGCTTACTTCAATAGTCGCTTGTCTTCTAATTTCAAATCACACACAATCGCAGGGCCTCGCTCCAATCCAGTCGACAAGTCCATGTTCAACCAAGCGGACAACGTCAGTTCATCTGTTTCCCTTTGGAGTCCACGCGTCTCGCTAAGACTGGCATGTTTCAACGTACGCACTTTGCTACAGATTGGCTAACAGGCAGCACTTGCCCGCACAGTAGGGACATTATCGATCGATCTTTGCTGTTTATCAGAAACCCGCCTGCAAGGTTCGAGCTCCGTGCTTACCCTGAGATCCCCCACATGCGACACTGGCGGCACATTCTCATTGCGCCTATCTGGCGATGATGCAGCTTCAAATGCCGGTCAAGCTGGCGTCGGCATTGTTTTGAGTCCCCGGGCTGAAGCTGCCTTGCTTGATTGGATCCCAGTAAACAGTAGAATGTGCGCCGTTAGATTAGCTGGTTCGTTCCGTGCTTCGAAGTCGCGCGGGGACAAACGGTGCCTGTTTGTCATTGCGGCCTACGCCCCTACAAACTGTAGCACTGATTCGGTAAAAGATGATTTCTATCAGCAACTTCACGAGCTCCTTCGTTACAGAAGGAGTACGGATACTGTGGTGCTGGCTGGCGATCTAAACGCCCAAGTCGGAAAGTTGTCCTCTGATGAGCCTCATCTGGGCGGCCAACATGGTGTAGGCTCCCGTAATGATAATGGTGAGCGATTGCTCCAGCTGTGTGAAGATGCTCGCCTGTTTCTCGCGAGCACTGACTTTCGACACAGCACCCGCAGAAGTGTGACTTGGCGGCCACCAGCCTCGGGCCAGTCATGGACGCAAATCGATCATATCGCGATCAGTTACCGCTGGAGAGGCTGTGTCCAAAACTGTCGCTCGATTTGGAGCACGAGCGTGGACTCTGACCACGCACTTGTATGTGCCGACCTCTTGATGCGTTTCGGTGGACGTCCGCAACGTCGGTGTGAACGGATTGACACTAGCCAGCTTGCGAAGTCAGATGTTCTGAATGTGTACCAAGATGCGCTGACATCTGGGCTGAGTAAGCGCCCACTAAACACCGTTGAAGATCACTGGTCGCATACTCGTCAAGCGTTGCTGTTAGCAGGCATGTCTTCATGTGGCAAAACAAATTGCAAAACCGGACATTGGGTCTCTACACAGTCTCTCGAACTTATGGATGCTCGCCGACGTATTCCGGCTGGAAGCGTATACAATGAAGCACGCAAAAATCTCAGGGCGAAACTACGTGCTAGCCTAAAGAAGGACCGCGAAACCTGGTGGTCTCATCGTGCCTTTGAGATGGAAACTGCCGCTGCCATTGGTAATCATCGTGAGTTATACCGTCTGATACGGGCAACAGGCAGCAGAAGACCTGGTGTTAGCGAGACCATACGCGACGAGAGTGGGCAGATGATCCACAGCCTGTCAAAACGCTTGGAGCGTTGGGCTGAACACTTTGCTATGCAATTTAACCAACCTGAGTTATCGTTTTCTTCTTCGGGCATTGAGCGCCCTTCTCCTTGGGCCGTCTCCTTGGATCCGCCCTCACGCGCAGAAGTCGAATGTGAGATCAAGCTGTTGAAATTGCATAAGGCCGCAGGAGCAGATACGATTCCTCCAGCCCTCTTCAAATTCGGTGGACCTGCTCTAGTAGATGATCTACACGAGTTGCTAGTAAAACTTTGGGAGCAGGAGACAGTCCCGACAGACTGGAACCGCTCCGTCATTGTCCCAATTTTCAAGGGAGGCTCCCGTTTAGAATGTGGCAATCATAGAGGGATCAGTCTGATTTCGATTGCCTCTAAATTGCTTGCCTCCTTCATTCTCCACAGACTGAGTGGCACTCGTGAAAGCCAGATGCGTGAAGAGCAAGCCGGATTTCGTCGAGGTCGGGGCTGCATCGACCACATCTTCACATTGCGTCAAGTGTTGGAGCACCGCCATGTTTATTGGCGACCCACCGTTGTCGTGTTTCTTGACATAAAAGGTGCCTTCGACTCAGTCGATCGATGTGCCCTTTGGGACTGTCTGTTGAGGAAAGGTGTGCCTGATAAATATGTAAATATTATCAAAGCGCTGTACGCACATAGTTCGGGCAGGGTGAGGGTTTATGGCAAACTCTCGCCACCCTTCAGTATCACCAGCGGTGTGAGACAAGGATGCCCGCTGTCACCTTTCCTCTTCAACTTCGCTATTGATGAAGTCATGGAAACAGCGTTCGCTGGACACGACCTAGAAGGTGTGGAGCTACTCCCTGGTGAGCGACTTCTTGACTTGGAGTATGCAGACGATATTGCCCTAATCTGTGACAGCTCCCAAACATGCCAAACAGCACTGAACCGATTAGCACTGGCTGTCAATCGTTTTGGGCTATGCTTTGCTCCATCGAAATGCAAAGTACTTCTCCAAGATTGGCAGGGACCCAACCCTGCGCTAACGCTTGGTGGTGATCTGCTAGAAGTCGTTCAGGAATTCAAGTACCTGGGCAGCTATATTAGCACCCGTGGGATTGAAGATGAGGTTACGAACCGTATAGCAAAAGCTCGAGGTGCTTTTGCCAATCTCCGCCACCTGTGGCGCAGACGCGACATTACTCTCGCCCTGAAGGGCAGAGTTTACAACGCAGCCGTCCGTTCAACTCTCCTATATGGCTGTGAAACCTGGCCCATCAGGTCGACAGACATGAAGAGACTCGTCACATTCGATCATCGCTGCCTTCGCAGCTTAGCTCATGTCTGGTGGGAACACCGCGTGAGCAATGAGCGTGTTCGGCGTCGCGTATTTGGTACAGGAAGAGCGAGTGAACCGCTCAGCACGATTATATCACGCACCAGGCTCCGATGGCTGGGCCACGTGTTGCGCATGCCAGCACACCGACTCCCGCGACGTGCTTTGTTTACGCGTTGTGGGTGCGGTTGGAAGAGGAGGAGGGGAGGCCAAGTGATGACTTGGTCGCGAGAAATGAAAACCCTCACTTCGAAGTTGGCGTCGGTTGGTGCATCCCGACTGCCTGGTTGGGGTCCTAAGGACGGTGAACACGTTTGGTTGGACACACTTGCTGATATGGCTAGGTGCCGGCCCCAATGGCGTTTGTGTTGTGAGTTCCTTTGTCCATCCCCCTCCTGTTTAGCATCCCCCTCCAATCACGATCTCAATCGTTTGGCATAATATGACTTTCTTTTACGGCAGCCAGCTGTTAGCTCTCCGGAACGATGTCCATCCGTTACTGGGGACTCAGCGGGCGTGCCACTGTTTGTTGATGTTGTTTTGTTTTTTTTTCTTTTCTTGCCTTTTGTATTGCGGCACAATAGCTGAGGTGTTTTCCACCTCCAGCTAACGTGTAATGATGATGATGATGATGATGATTCAACCGCCTGCACTTCGGCTCAGTTTGTCGCAATCGCCAGTAAATGGTTTAGGCCGCCTTTTTACCTACGTCGACTTTTCCACACACTTATCAGAAACATTCTCTTCGTCCAACTGTTCATTAGGGATATCTTTACATGCTTTCCCCTAAAGTGGCTGAAGAGACGAGGCGTCTGCTCTGGAACCCGGAGATCACCTGTCCGAAGCTGCCTCGCAATGTTCACAGCTCACGCGCAGCTGGTGCTAGTCCCTTGGCAGCGAATTGTCGGGGAGGAGTGCAGATGCAATGCTGTTGCATTTCGGTACTATCTTTTCCAACATAGTTGCCCCACCTTGCTGACCGTGAACCGAGAAGCACTGGCAACTTCACCGGTTCGGTCCAACACGCTATGCTCGGAGAGGAAAATGTTAGTGCAGGCATATATATCATGCATTTATCACTACCTGATAGTCTCATGGTACGTTATACCTAAAAACAAGTTCGATCGCAATCGGAAAGTGTGGAACTTTCAACAGGAACGTGAGTACTGCGACTTTTGCAGCTCCGTTATTACAATCCTCTAGTCAAGATTACTTGCTCAATCTTTGCTTTAACCGCGTTACTAAGCGTGCTCTTCCACCATGTATGTAAAAGCGTTGCACTTTATTTAACCACCCAGCTTTTTATTTATCATTGCGTTACGTATCTCTAAGTTCGTTCTTATGTTGCGTTAAGAAACTCATCTATCAATCGCGTTTGGCTTCTACTTTTTTTTAGCTTGTGTGACACTATGGGCGTTGAAGTTTTCCAACGTCTTCCTCGTTTATGCCTTCCCATAAGATATTCGATTGAACTGACACCTTGTTTGAAGACATTTACCTTCTCTGGAAAACAGTCTATTTCCCTGGAAGTAATTTCTTCATGCACTATTTCTCATAAACCAGGTGATTGAAAGTATCAGTGAAGTCATCGTCAATGCTAAGCAGCTAACCATTAACCATGCAAAATTCAACGGAAGTGCGTTTCCTTTTTATATTATGACTAAACGGTTTGATTTTAGACACTGTTGAGGTTTTATCTCAACCGGAAATTGAAAGAATTATTTTCCGACTTGGCACGCCCTGCCTTGTATGTGCTTCCGATTTTCTTCCTCATACATCCTCAAAGGCGGGATCTGCTGTTTTAGATATCGACTTTGAGGGTTCGATTGGTGACAAAATGGTCGGGTTTTATCGAAGCATGTATTCTACGGACAGTGAAGAACAAAAATTGATGTTGGCCACTCAGTTCGAGGTACAAATCGTTTCCACCTTGGTTTCCACATTTTTTCACACCAGCCATCGTGGGCGCGGTTGGCTTTTCCCTGTTGGGATGAACCAAGCTTCAAGTCGGTGTTCAGTATCAGCTTGATTGTGCCGAAGCAATATACTGCCATTTCAAACATGGTAAGAAGTGCTTTCTGTTTTGCCCTCGTTATCATATACTTTATTGTTCGACCAACAGCTGACCTTCTGTTAAGAGATTTTATGCTTAATCTCGTCACCATCGATACTTGATTAGACCTTAAAATGATGCGATGGTTTATGCCTTAATGATCAATTGAGCTGTGCTGGGTGGTACGTTACGGATCTTCAGAACAACTCATACCAGATTGATCACTGGGTCGGGGCTTGACAAACTCAGTCTCCTGGAACCCCAGGTTGGAGGTTGGAGTAAGAGTAACTGCATAAAATGGACTCACTGTAGCCCAATGCTTAAACCCCGATGCGTTGCGGTCAGGTTTTTAAATCAATGGCTTTGGTTTTGTAATCTAATCGTTCTTTCTAGGCCCGGGTAACTGACAGTATCCTGCCCACGTACTGTAATACAATGGCTCTCATCAACCAATTTCCTGATGTTCTGGCCGTCGCAGAGGATAATCAACGGCCCCCTATCTGCTGCATCCAGCAGGGTGATGGGGGTGAGGATAATGTTGCTCGGACCTTCACGTCTTCTTACTACCCACTTTTGCTTTTTCATTCTATTCGTCCCGTTCCTACTTCAATTTTATCCCTGTCTTTTCAACCCTTCACTTCTTGGCCCAACCCTGTCTTCAACAGGCGTTTATCTCCTAGTTTCTGCTCACATGCAATCGCAATGCGTCGTTCCGGTCCAGTCGACAATTTCATGTTCAATCAATCGGGCAACTTCACTCCACCTGTTTCCCTTTGGAGCTATCGATCCTCGCTAAGACTGGAACGCTTCTACATGCTCACTTTGTTACAGGTTGGCTAACAGACAGCACTTGTGCGAACACTAAAGACTCTATCGATCGATATCTGCTGCTTATCCGATATCCGCTTGCAAGATTCGAGCTCTCTACTGACCTTGGAACCCCCCACATGAGACCCAAGCAGCACCTTCTCATCGCATTTGTCTTTAAATGACGTAGCTTTAAAGGCCGGTGTGGTCATTGATCTGAGCCCCCGGGCTGAAGCTGCCCTAATCGATTGGATCCCAGTCCACAGCCGGATGTGTGCCGTCCGGCTGGCCAGCTTGTTCAAAGCTTCAAAGTCGGGCGGGGACAAACGGTGCCCGTTTGTTATTGTTGCATACGCGCCCAGAGAATGTAGCACTGACTCGGTGAAAGATGACTTCTATCATTAACTGAACGGGCGAAACCGTATGCGATGAGAGTGGACAGACGATCTACAGCTTGTCAAAGTGTTTGAAGCGTTTGGCCGAACACTGAACGGCAGTTTAATCAGCCATAATTACATTCCGCTGATCTGGACCTTCTCTTTACGCGCAGAAGTCGAACTTGAGATCACACTGTTAAAACTGAATAAGACCGCAGGTTCAGACAGACTTCCTCCAGCTCTCTCCACTTTTGGGGAACCTGCTCTTTTGGATGATTTGCAGGACTTACTAGTGAAGCTGTGGGAACATGACTTTCCCAACAGACTGAATCTCCTCCTTTATAGTCCTCATTTTCAAGGATAGTTCACGTTCGGAATGCAGCAATCATAAAGGGATCAGTCTGATCCCCATCGCCTCTAAGTTACTTGCCCCTGTCGTCCTCCATAAACTGACTGGCTCTAGATTCGTGAGGAGCAAGTCGAAGCCGAGGCTTCATTGACCAAATTTCTACATTACGAGAGCTGTTGAAACACTGCCATATAAAATGGTGACCCTCCCTATTTCTGTTTCTCTAGGTCAAATGGGCTTTCGCTTCGGTGGATCGATTTGCCCTTTGGGACTGTCCGCTCAGGAAAGGCGTGCCCGCTAAATCGGTACATGCCATAGGAGTGCTGTGCGCGTGTAGTTCGGGCAGTATATGGGTTTATGCCAAAATATCGCCTCCGTGTAATATTTCCAGCAATGTAAGACAAGGTTGTCCTCTGTCAGCTTTCCTTTCTCTCTTCGCCAATGACGAAGTCATGGAGACGGAGTCCACTAGACACGACCTTCTAGGTGTGGGGCTGCTTCCAGTTGATCGACTTCTTGACTTGCAATACGCTGGCGACATTGCCCTTATCTGTGACAGCTTCCAAACTTGCAAAGCAGCACTAGACAATTTAACACTGACTATCAATCATTTTGGGCTATGCTTTGCCTCCTCGAAGTGCGAATTCCTCCTCTTAAGTTGGCAGAACCCACCCATGCGCTGACTCTTGGTGGTGATCAACTAGAAGTCGTCCATAAATTTGAGTATCTAGGCAGCTATATTAGCGCTTGTGGAATAGATGAGATCACGAAGGAAATAGCCAAAGCTTGAGGTGTTATAACCACCGCTTCACTCCAGTTAGCAGTGCGAACCGTTGTCCTCTGTGTCGTTATATTTACGGCTTCACTCCGATTGGATGTTCGACCCCGGCCCCGGATTGGCTGACAAAAGCTACAATGGCGGACCCTTTTACCGTGTATTCGCCGAACGACAAGACAAAACGTGGAACATGAGGTTACATTTATAGATATTGGGTGACATTACTTGCCAATAATGGTATCAGAATCTTCAGGAACATTATTTTCATTGACAAACGAGACGCTTTGCAAAAATATTGGCAGAATCCGTTGGTTCTTGTCGAAAACAGGCGCCACCATTTGATTCATTAGGACGTGCCCTTCCTAACACTTCCCCGTTCTAAGTCCACTGGTGTACTATTTCAGTCTGGAGTTGACTTGTAACCCTGTGGCGGGGACTGCATCGGTCTGTTCATCTTCTGAGCCCACATTCAGGGGTAACACAGTGTATAGTATGTTCATCTTGAGGAGTTACATCTGTCTTCGATAAGTTGAATTCATCCAAGAGTATTTCCCTAGGAGTCGTCCAGACATCTTCAGTTATATTTGGGGAAACGCATCTCCTGAGCTGGTTAATGTAGCGGACCCACCTTTCTTTGCCCACGGTTACCTCATAGCAGACATGACCCTACTTTTATTTCTAATTAGGGCACGTGTCCGTGCGATATTTTCCCTCCGATCGTCCTTTGCCAGAACCATCTGCCCAACATCGAAACTCCTCCGATTGTATTGGCGTTCCATTTTCTGATTTTTTGCCGCACTGTCATTCTCCTGCGGTCTTATGAGGTCAAAAGTTGTTCGGGGCTTTCTCAGCAGAAGCAATTCGGCCGGGAATTTTTCCTCCGGTGCTTGAGGATTGGATGTGATCCTATACATCAATAAAAAGGTTTGTGGAATCTCGAGAATTGATCCATCCTTCCTGTTTTAAGCAGCGCTCTCTTGAATGCGTGAACGGATATCTGCCTGTTCATTTGACTGGGGATGATAAGGAGACGAACGGAGGTGAGCTGAGACCCATTGTCTGTCATAACTGTTTCCGGGAATCCAATGCGGCTGAAAACCTCTCTGAAGGCGGCTACAGTGGCTGATGAAGTGATGTTCGACGTTTGCAAGATTTCAGGCTACTCACTGTATGCATCAACGACTCAGACGTTATGTTTCTTGATTGGTTCTGCAAAATCAAGATGCTCTCTTGACCATGGTTTTGTGTGCGTTGGCCAGGAAAGCATTTCACACTTTCGGGGTGATTTTGCCGTTGACGAACATTTGGAGCATGAGTGGGTTAAATCTTCAATTTGTAAATCCATGAACGGTCAATAAACGTAACTTTGCGCCAAAGTTTTCATTCTTTTGTAGCTAGGATATCCGGCGTGAAACCGTTCCAAGACTCTGGATTGGAGTTCCGTTGGTATGACGGCGCACTCCGTAAACAGGACGCAGCTTGGACGATGGATAAATAATTCCTTCTCTAAGCAAACTGCTTTAACCATGCGTCAGCAATTTTTCGTCTCCACTGTGAACGGTGAAACTTGCTCACTTGTGATTGCAACGGGTCACGTAAGGTTGCTTGTCGAATCAGACTGAAAGATATTAGTAGTCAACTCACCGTATCTGAAAGCACCTGATTAACTTCCATTTCTAATGAAACGTTAGCAACAACGGTGTCTTCCGAGTGATACTGTTCGTCCATCAATCGTGATAGCGCATCCGTCCGACAAGTGTCATTTGTTGATCGGTACTTAATAGTGTAATCATATCCGAGCAACATTGTAGCCCATCTTTGCAGACGATTGGCCGTGTAAACTGGAATCCATTCCTTGGACCCGAATATGGCAAGTAGAGGTTTGTTGTCCGTTAGTATAGTGAATCTTGTAAAAATGCTTTATCGCAAACACGGTGGCTAGAGCCTCTTCGATTTGACTGTACTGCCTTTCCGTCGCAACTAGACTGGACCTTAACGTGGTGCGACGGTTTGCGTACCTCATTGACCCATTGAGCTATACTGGATGATGCCTCCGGGCACCTTGAGAGCTACTCCTACCAGGTTGGTCAATGGTGAGAGGTCAGACAAACTCAGTCTCCTGGTCCTCCAGGTTGGGAGTTTGAAATGGAATGGCGTCCATTTCTATAAAACTAAATCATTGCCACCTCCCCGCTGCCTTGCGGACAGACTTTTGAGCCAAAGGCTTTGGATGAGGACCCTAATCGTCCTCCTGTCTAGGTCTGGGCGCCCTGGCAGTATCCCAGCCCACATACAACCATGACTTTTTCTTCAAACATAAACTTCATCCTGCATCGGCCGTCGCGCAGATTATCAAGGGTCGCCTTATCTGCTGCATGCAGCAGGGCGGATAAGCGAAAACATGCTACTGCTGGCGCCTCCCTTCTTTCTTTTCCACCTTTTTCTCTTGCTCCCATCCCGACCCCCATTACTAACCTTCCTTCTATAATTCCCAGCTTAATTGACAGCAACCGAAGTGCTACTGGAGTAGAACCATCTGCAGCCACCATCCCACAGCACCTATCGGACGCCTATCGGCAAAAGTCCCTTATAAGGCCACGCTATCCCGTTTCCATGGCGATATTCAACGTTCGCACTCTAAGACAAACAGGTCAACAGGCTGCACTCGCACGCACCTTGGACACACTGGGTATTGATGTG